TTCAGAGCAATAAACTTTTAAGTAAGTGAATTGCCTCCTGGGACCTACACACCATGGAGAAAATACCAAGACTAACAATCTGTCTAGGGACTCTGTCTCTGGAGCAGAAACAGACCACACTTGGTGTGCTGTGGTGGGGGGTAAATTAGAGTTCTAAATATTGCTAGGTCATCCGTCATACAAATCTTCTACATTCACCCATCAATTTCAATATACTGGATAGAAAATGACTAGGCTTTCTGAGCAGTTCTCCAAAAACAGCTTTCTAGTTTGAAGGGCCTAGTCATTGTTAACCTTTTTCTTCGTGGCTTTCTCCATTCAATATCTTGATAATTTGCATTTTAAATTTTGAAGGGACATTTGCATATATTTTCACATTTAACACTTAAAACCCTGGGAGATTGATGGGGGAAGATTATGCCTCATGCACAGTGGAGGAATTGACTCTTGACATGGAGACTTGTCCAAGGTGACCCGGGTATGAAGGGATGGTCCTGAGATCTCAGGCCAGAGCTTGTCATCCTCAATTCTGTATCATCTCACTACACAGCACTGTCTTCCCACAGGTGCTCGCTCACTCCAGTGGACAGGACTGGTATCACCCTTCTTGCTGAGTACTTTAAGGAGGGTTCTTTCTTGGTCTTCTTCAAGGCTAATCAAATGAAGCACCAAGGCAAAAAGCTTGGCGTTCAAGTTTCTCTACCAGTTCCAGAGTACAAGGATATGTATAGAAAAAAAATAGAGGGATGGGAGCTGGGGATATAGCTCACTGGCACAGCGCCTGCTGGGCAAGCATGAGGTCATGAGTTCGATTCCCAGTACCCCCCCCAAAATAAATAAATAAATCAATGGAGGGATGCATGTATCAATAGAAAATGAAGACACACCTCTTCCCTTCTATTGTTGGGATCTCCACCTTCTCTCCTTATTTTCATAAATGAGGTTTCTCCTAGGTACAACATATTATCATGGCAATTATAATCTCTTCCTTGATAATGTAAACCCGGATAAACAGTCTATCTATAGTAAGAGTGTGTAATCAGGAATGCGATTGCTACATTTAAAAATCAGCAGTTGGGGTTACAAAAACAATAAAATAAGCTGCCAACAGACCTCTAACAACCGTTTCACAATCCGATGTATTCCCTTTCCACTTCCTTTTTCTTTCAACAAATGTTTTGCACACCCACTATGTACTTAATATCAAGCTATTGCAATGAGGAGGGACATGATCTTTGCTTTCAAAAGCTCTCCCAGACAAAGCAGGGGGCGGGGAATAACGGATAAATCAAACTGACAGTTATAAAACTGTGTAGTAAACATTACGACAGAGGTATGCACAGGAGGCTAAACTAACATGCAAGAGAGGTGGTCACTCATAGTTTTCAGAAGATTGCTTTTCCCTTCCTGCTCCTCTTCCTCCTCCTCTACCCCGACTCCCTCTGGCTCCTCCCTTTTGCAGTACTAGGGGGACTGAACTCAGGATCGCACAAGTGAGGCAACTGCTCTACCACCGAACTACCCTCGGCCCTCTTTAAAATTTTTCCTTCTAAAACAGGGTTTCACTAAACTGCCCAGACTGGTCTTGAACTTGTGATGCTTCTGCCTCAGCCTCCTGAGTAGCTAGAGTCATGGGTGTGTGCCATAGCACCCAGCTCCATGCCATCTTTAAAAACAGATTTTGAACCCTATCTTTATCACTTTACCTACATCTTTAAATTTTTTCTTTCTTCAAAGGAGACTGTTTTCTAGTATAGAATTTACACTCAGGAGGCTGAGGCAGGAGGCTCGGTCCGAGTTCGAGACCAGCCTGGGCTCCAAAGTGAGCTCAAGGCCAGCCTGAACTGCACAGCGAGACCCTGTCTCAAAAAGACAAAATTATCAATTAACACCAAAAACCTACTTAACTAATCAGAAAAAAATACACAAATGACAGCTTCAAATACACATATGACCAAAGGTGGTTTGATTCAGATTAATTACTAAAGAAGTTACAAAGTTCTCTCCATTTGATCAGCCTGTAACAACTGAAATAAACAAATCAGTCCCATGATCCTGCTTATTTTCTGAGATGTTCCCAAAGGGATTTATCCTGTTGACACGGCTCTTAATTATAATGATACATTTCTTTGCAATCCACCCGCATTATTTCATTACTAAGTGAATGCACCAGCTTCAGGAAAAATTAGTCATGTCCTGCATTTGATTCTGTTTACCTACCCAGGACTAATTTCTAGTAAAGATATAAAGAATGTGAGCTTCTGTCGTTCCACCGTTTCCCTCAGAGGCAGTGCCTGGAAGCTACCACGCCCAAGAAGTCTTGACTGACTTTCTGTGGTCACTCACCTTCAGCAAAGTACTGAAGTTGGAGGCTCTAAGATAGAGAAAATGGTTTCAGAGAGCCTCGTTTGAATCCTGGCTCTGAATCTTCTAACCTGTGTCTGCTTTTTATCATTCTGACCTTCGGTTTCCTTATTGTAAAATGGAAATAATGACATTTTCCTTGTGCAGCCGGGCAACTAGATAAATGTAAAGCACTTAAGCTGTATCTGACATATAACAGCATTCAAAAGATAATGTTTAAAAAGAGATAATGTTTGTAAAGCACTTGGGCTTTGACATATAACAAGCATTCTAGAAAATCTATTCAACATATTCTAGTAAAGGTTTCACAGACACACACATACACACACAATAACATGGACCAAGCAAAATTTATTTGTATGTATACTTTTAGAGGAGAAAGTGCATTCATTTTCACTAATTTCTTAGAAGATTTCTGGTTGGGCATAGTGGTGCTCTCTTGTAATCCCAGCACTCGGGAGGCTGAGGCAGGAGGATTGTTGTGAGTTCCAGACTAGTCTGGGCTACATAAGTGAGTTCAAAGCCAGCCTGAACTGCATAGCAAGAACTTGTCTCAAAAAGACAAAAAAAAAAAAAAAGGGTCGGGGATATAGCTCAGCCTGGTAAGCACAAGGTCCAGGGATATAGCTCAGCCTGGCAGCGCAAGGTCCCGAGTTCAATTCCTGGTACAAAAAAAAAAAAAAGATTTCTATCTTAAAGATTAAGTGTAAAACCTCAGAAAAGAATTTAAAAGTTAAAAACCTAGTCTGTGATGATAATAAACATTTAAGTACATGCCAGGGATACAGCTCGGCGGCACAAGCGCCTGCCTGGCAAGCGCAAGGTACCAAGTTCAATTGCCGGTACCAAAATAAAACCCCTAAAAAACAAAACAAAACAAAAAAAACATTTAAGTACAAAGATCATATTTATCCCCAAAGAACTCCAGACTGATTTTACACAGCAGTTTCCCAGTAGGAAGGTCAGGGTACCGAGGAAAGGAACTTCAACTTTTTTTTTTTAATCTAGGAAAAGACAATGTAATCACAGGTTTTTTCCTGTTCAAGTTTTGTTAGCAAATTCAATTTAAGATATGGCTCCACTATCCTATCTGTGTGACTGTAAGCAATTTAACTTTATCGAGTATCAACGTCTTCAAATATAAAGTGGGGATGGAAACAGTACCTATCACATCTGTTGTGAAGATTCAATAAAATGTCTATAAAATATTTGGCAGCAAGCCTGGCCTATTTAGTGTTCTTTTTGTTATTGTTACTACTATTCCCATTAACTTCTTGCTATTGTACTCCTAATTTAAGGAGGCAACTCTCCAAGGTGCTTAGTGGAGAAGGGAAGGATACATATATTTGTTTGTCTGTTTGCATTCCTGGGGATTGAACCCACCCAGGGCCACACATGCTAGGCAACCAGTCACTCAACAGCCACTAAATTACATCCCCAGCCTTTTATAACTCTTCTGAGGAGCTCAAAGACAGGGATCCCAAAGAAGGAATTAAAGACAGGGACCCCAAGGCTGGCTGAACAAATAAGCAGAATAGGTGACTCCAAATACCTGCTCTTTTAGAGCTGCTGGAAAAGCCCACTAGCACCCTAAATTTCTTTCACTATGTCATTGTGTCTGAAATTCCATCTTTAAAAATCATTCCTTTGACCCGGGCATGGTGGCACACGCCTGTAATCCCAGCACTGGGGAGGCTGAGGCAGGAGGATCATTGCGAGTTTAAGACCAGCCTGGGCTACAAAGTGAGCTCGAGGTCAACCTGAACTGCATAGTGAGACCTTGTCTCAAAAAGACACACAGACACAAAGAAAGAAATAATTCCTTTGGATAACTAAGAGCTCCTGAGAGGCCGATCACCTCTCTTCCCACACCCCAAAGGAGTTGGCCAATAAAACCACAAGGTGGTACTCTCTCAAGGACACTAATTTCTTCACAGAGGAACAAGGTTGAGCCACGCACAGTGGCTCAAGACTGAGAAGGCCCCAGTGGGGTGGTGACTGCGGGGAACCCAGAGGTCTCCTAAGAGACAAAAGCCCTGAAGGAGAGTTCCCTAAGACTATGCGCAAGAGGGGAAATGGGGCAGAAAGAGCGGGGGAATGTCCAAGAGAGACTTCCTTCCCGGGCCTTGTGTCAGGGTCCCCAGCTGTGCATGGCAGCAGGGGACAGGGGTTCTTTCCGGGTCCAAGGAGAGCGCTTCACGCTGGGGGTGGCTGAGCTGAGCGGGGGAGATGGCCTCCGCGGGGGTGGGCGAGGGGAGAGGACGCAGGGCTCCGCCCGCGCCGTTCACGGGTTGCCAATCCCTCCTGCGTTTCCTCGCCCTCGTGGATGCCACGAGATAAGGAAGCTCGGGCATCTGGTGGCGCGGGATAACGCGCGCCCCGGCACGCTCTGAGTACCGGGCACGGCCCCTGCCATCGGCGCGCCCACCGTGCGCCCTGCCGGGCCGTGCCCTCTGCGCCCCACAGCCCCGAGGTGGTGACCCCAGCCCGCGAAACGAGGTCTGCGGGAGAAGACGCCCGCTCTCCGGGACGCGCGCGGGCAGCCCAGAGCAGCAGAGACACTGGCTGTCACACCGCGGCCCCTGGAGTTTGCGACGGCGGGCCACACTGGGGCCTCGCCCAGGCACGAGGCTCACCCTTGAGGGAGTCGGGCAGCTGCCGGGTTTGGGCGTCGTCTGCGTGCCGCTTCTCCATGCTGCGCGAGCCGGTGTTGCGCTCCTCCGCCGCAGTCGCAGTGGCTGAAGCCGAAGCCTCGGGAGCGGGAATGAGGAGGACGCGCAGCCGGAGGGCGAGGCTGCAGCCCTGCCCCGCCCCTCACGGGACGCGCTCTCGAGGCCCAACCAATGGGCGCCCAGCATCGCGGAAGACTCGCCGTTGGCCCCGCCCCCAACGGCCCGCGAAGTCGGCGCCGCCAGCTCTGGGAGCGGCCGGGGGGCGTGGCCTGAGCTGCGCTGCGCAGGAGAGCCGGTTCTGGGGTCCCAGGCGGCGCTGCAGTCCAGGGGCTCTGGGACCCAGGGGTGGGACGCGTGCTGAGGGTGTCGGGGTGGGGGCCTGTGGGATGGTCTGGAAAAAGGTGCAAGTAAGGGAAAGGCAATTAGAGTAAGGCGCTTCCTGCGGGCGGAGGAATTGTGGGGAGAAGTTGGTGACCGTGCGGGGTCGGGGTGAGGGCAGGGTCATGGACTTGGCCGGGGTGAGGGTCGAACTGTCGGCGCGAGACGCGAGGCTGCCAACCGACCGCCTTCCGGCCAAAGTGAAAAAATTCTAGCGAGGTAGGTTTATTAGCCAGGTATATTCAGACAAAAGCCCCAAAAGGAGCACCTGGCCTGTGGTGGAGGTGTGCTCACTGTTGGGGTGCAGGGAGCGGGCTTTCCTTATGTTACCCTCTACTAGGGGGACACCTGCAAACGGGCCAGCGCAGCGTTGCACCTCCCCAGAGGCGCTGCGAAGAAAATAGCTTTGGTTAGCGGGGACGAGGGATTCTATAAGGAGGCGGCCTTGAGATGTTGTTGCCAGGAACATGGGAACGAGCCAGGCTCGGCTAGGGGGACAGGCGGGGCAAGGAGGGCGCAAGCGTAGGCGAGGGAAAAGCCAGTCCGAAGCCTTCCCAAACCTCTGGCCTTTTTGGTTGAGGATGGCTGACAACCACACTTTTGAAAATCACTGTGATAAGGATGATCTTTGCTTGAAAGGACAGGCTTTGTCAAGGTTGATAAAAGCCTGATTCAGGCTCTGAAGAGGACTTCCAGTCAAACGGGCCTGGTGGCGCACGCCTGTAATCCCAGCACTTGGGAGGCTGAGACAGGAGGATCGTTATGAGTTCAAGACCAGCCTGGGCTACAAAGTGAGCTCAAGGCCAGCCTGAACTGCATAAAAAGAAAAAAAAGACAAACATGGGCAAAGTAAGGTTTATATTCCTAGGAGTGTTGTACAGCTCATGCAGTCACGTTATTACCCTTCTGCAGAAGGCAAGGAGGGGAGTACAGTAATTTAGTGATCCCTCCTGTCAAAAATCAATCTAGAAAGTTCACAGCATCATTTTTTTTCCATTCGAACCCGAAGGAACCCCAGAGGCATGAACTTCCTGTTTATTCTGTGTTTGTCAGGAAAAGAGGAAAAAGTGCCAAAGAAACTAAACTCTTCACTAGAAGAGGGCTTGATCACAAACTGCATACTGCAGGGGAAAAAAAAGTACTAGGTTTTATTTTTGCTGACAAGGAAAATAATATTTCAAAGTGAATTTAATGTCTGTACTCCTCTGCCCTGTTACATTAGCTCAAGTCTCAAGGCAGTCCCAACTGCGTCACTTCTGAACCTCTCCCTGTGGGACAAAGATTTTAGTAAACACTTACAGGTACTGGTGTTAGATTGCATCAGTTCTAGAGGTAATTCCAGGCCCGAGTTAAATACTGATTGATGAGGATAGTGATGACATTAAGATGTGGAGATGGAGGTTGAAAGGATGCACCATGAATCCATAATTGAATAAGTCAGAAGGGAATTCAATTAGTTTTTTCTTGTGCCCAAAAGAAATGCTTCCATAAGAGCAACAGGAAAGACCTTAACCATTTTTTTCTTTAAATTGCTAAGCCAGGCTTTTCTTGATGGTTCTAATAAAGTCAGCTAATTAGATACATTATGGGAGTAACAAGAACAGAAAGTCATAAATTTATACCATTCTGCTCAGGATGGGATTAATAAATGTGATCTATTTCTTTAGATGGATTAATTTGCATTTGTTTCATTACTGTTATCAGGTAGCTCTTTCTAAACATGGCTTGCCATTTAAACGTTTCTGGCTTTTGGGTGGCTTACCTCTCTTTCTGGAGTTAGATGCCACATTCTCATCTCAAGCAAAGGATTGAATGAAATGAGCAAAAAGCAAGGACAAAATTTATTTGAAAAGTGAAAGTGACAAGAGGAAGAAACAGGGCTCTGCAGAGTGAGCTTGGGTTAGTAAAAAAGGAAAAAGTAAGACACCCTAGAGGAAGCAGAACCGGCTATCCTGAGAAAAGCCGTAATAGCAAGGTCTTCTTGGCATCTGTGTCTTTTTATACTGTCCAAATCTTGAGGAAACTTGCAAAAGCTACATACGAGAGTCTCAAGAGGCGGTGCTGAGATCCCACACCTCAGGCTGACCATCCATATCTAGGCTATCCTGTTGCAAACCTGCTGCAGCTCTCCCAAAAGTCCACAGGAAAAGCTTTGGTAACTGTTCTGTGCGTGTATTCCGGGCTCTTCTAATTAACTCCTCCACCCAGCTTTGCCATGCCCTCATCTCGTATGTCATTTACAGTAAAGTTTTTCGCTTATCTCACTTTGAATCATCACAAGAGTTTCACCATAAGGTTTTATTTTGAGGTGTGGCAGCAGCCCAGTTATACAACAATACCTGCTAAGATACAGGAATTCAAGTTCCCAGTCTTATGAAAAGTTGACTATAACATTGGTGCCATTTAACAGAATTACCTAAGGGAAGAACCTTATTGATCTGTTTTATTTATAAATGCACTCAGCAAATAGTTGTTGAACACCTGCTCTGTACCAGACATCATACTAGGTATTAGGGATACAGCAATGAACAAAAGAGACAAAAATCCTTTCTACATGTATTACTTTGCTAGGGTTTCTATCACAAACTGGATGACTTAAACAAGAGAAATTTATCTTTCTGACAGTTCTAGCAGTCCAAGACAATGTGGGTTTGTTTGTTTGTTCTGTCTTTTTGAGACAGGGTTTCACTATGCAGTTCAAACTGGCCTTGAATTCACGATGTAGCCCAGGCTGGCCCTGAACTTGTGATCGTTCTGCCTCACCCTCCCAAATGCTGGGATTATAGGCGTGCACCACCATGCCCAGCTAAATGGCCTCTTCTCACAAAGACATTCTGCTGCCGGGTGTGGTGGCGCATTCCTATAGTTCAGCACTGTGGTGCCTCTATATCCCATTGTGCCCAAGCCTTACACGGGGCACAGATTCCAGCCTCAGCTGGCTGCTTTCCTTAGATCTTAAAAATGCTTCTTTTGTGTTCCCTCAGTGCCTGGGAGTCAGAACCTCTTTGCCTTTAAAAATCAACTAACGGGAGTGGGACTATTGACCTGGACAATCCTTCGCCAGGGGTTTTAAGATAGTCCCCACGTTTTCAGCCTAGCGCAAGCCCGAGACCTGCTAAAATGGAAGAAAGGGAGCGTTACATTATGTAGATGATCTGATGCTCTGTGGGGATACAGAGGGCCTGGGAACTGAGTCCCTCCATAAAGTGTCCTGGGAGAAGCCCAAATCTGCCAGTCCCGGGTCACCTATTTAGGGCTGCTCATTTCTCAGGGCAAAAGGGCATTAAATTCAGAGAAAATCCAACCCGTTCTGGAATACCCTTTGCCAAAACATATCAAACAGCTGAGAGCCTTTCTGGGGGTGACTGACTGGGTTCTGCAGAATTCGGATTCCAGGACATGCTAAAAAGGCCAGGCCCATTTATCACTTTCTTATGCAGGCTTTACACATCATAACAGCAGCACTGGGAGTCCCAGGCCAGCCTGAACTATGTAACAGGCAACCCAACAGACAAAGACATACTAATGACCTCATTTAACTCAATTACATCTTCAAAATCCTTTCCATAAATACAGTTACAAGCTGAGCACTAGGACCTCACTAAATGAATTTTGGGGAAGTAGTTCATCTCATGTTATTATATAAAGCTGCTCTATACCCAAGCCTTTCTCTTCAAATCTGTTTTTAGGGTTTTCTTTTGCAGTATTGGGGAACGAACCCAGGGCCTTGCATGTGGTAGGCAAGTGCTCTGCCACTAAGCTGTATCCCAGCCCCATATCTCTGTCTTGCCTGTCTTTTCCTTTGCAATATGCAAAGCCATTTACGTTTACCTGCTGAATGTGTTCAGTCAACTTGATTACTTTTCTAGACTTATTTTTAAGTAGTACTGAAAAGAAAGTTGATGGTTAGGAAGGATTACTTAGAATGTTGCTCCATCTAGTGTCCACTATATTCTACTACTTTTGTCAAAGTGATAAAAGGGAACTATGTTGGAGATGGGTTTTCTGCTCAACAATTAGGCTATTAGTCACGCAGCACTAAGAATTCATGGTAAAAATGTTATTTCAAATACTGTATGTGGAAAGAAATAGGAGCCGAGATAATGACATTTTATTTATTTATTTTGAGACAGGGTCTCACTACATATTTCAGGCTGGCCTTGAACTCACTGTGTAGTTCAGGCTGACCTTTAACTTGTGGCAAACCTCCTGCCTCAGCTTCCCAAGTGCTGGCATTACAGATGTGTACCAAGATGTCTGACTTAATGGTACTATTTTTAAAAATTCGAGTAGTATAGTTACATCATTTACTATTACCACCAGTTATTATTTATTTTTATCCCAAAGGAGACTGAGACTGGGGTTTGTCACTTGTCCAAAATCGTACAGATTATAAAGTGGTAAAGAGATTTTTTTTTACCTCCAGTCTGTATAACTCCTGAGTTTGAGCTCTTAATCATTCTGAATATATAAAAAGCAAAAAGACACAAGCTTGTCAGAATGCATCCCTCAGATATGAAAACTTCTAAGCATATATCTAAATGAGCATTCAAGTTTGCCTTCAATTTTTATATATATTTTATTTTGTATTGCAGTGATACTCTATTGTCCAATGTTTGTATCATTGATGGTCTACTCTGTCAAAATATGCCTGTCCACTCAAATGTTGAATTTATAAAGATTATGACAGCTGAATTAGATAGAAATTAATATACAGTCAGAAAGGGATTGGGCCCTCAAAGAAGTCAACATGAAAAAAAATAATCATCAGAATTGTGGCTGGAGGGCCAGGGATACAGCTCAGCGGCACAGTGCCTGCCTGGCAAGCATGAAGTCCTGAGTTCGATTC